TATAGTATATCCAATGATGCATGTACAAACAAAACACTGAAGCAACCGACAATTTTGATACTAACCGACAATTTTGATACTATGTACATTCTTTTATCAACTTATTATTATAATTCTGAATCTGGTTTTGGATGAAGAGTGTATGCATTTTGAATCTGCTCACCAACAAAATGGTTGGGTCCTTTGAGAAGGTAAGAGTAGAAGAGGTAAAGGCAATGTTGGAGAAGCTGGAGAAAGCAAGTTGTTCCTCATCATCAGTAAACCTAAGCGAACTCTTTATTACTCTACCAAGCGATGTTACGAGTAGAGTTGCCTTGGGAAGAAAACATAGCGAGGACGAAACCGCGAGGGATCTCAAGAAACGAGTGAGGCAAATTATGGAACTTCTAGGCGAGTTCCCAATTGGGGAATATGTCCCATGGTTGGCATGGATAGATAGAATCCGCGGTTTCAATGATAAAGTGGAGAATGTGAGTCGCAAGTTTAACGATCTTATGGACAAAGTGGTGCAAGAACATTTAAAGGCGGGTAAAAAAAAGCGGATTTCATCGATATATTGCTATCAATTGAAGGAGAGGAGAGTGATGGATTCCAGGTTCAAAGAAACGACATAAAATTCATGATCTTGGTAGGATCATTATAAGAATTTATTCATGTATTAGTTACATATGCAATTATTTTAGTTTGAGTAATGACATCTAATTTTCATTACTTCATATATCATCAGGATATGTATATAGGAGGAACTTCAACAACTTCTACTCTACTAGAATGGACAATGACGGWACTGATTAGACATCCCAAATGTATGAAGAAACTCCAAGATGAGGTTCGGTCAAGTACTAAACCACATACTTCTTACATAAAAGAAGAAGAAGTTGAGAATATGAAATACTTGAAAGCTGTGATTAAGGAGGTGCTCCGGTTGCATCCCTCTCTTCCAATGTTAATGCCTCGACTATTGAGTGAAGATGTCAAGTTAAAGGGGTATGACATAGCCGCAGGCACAGAGGTAAACTAATCTTTATCAAATCAAACTCTTATATGTAAAAAGATATCATAAATAATATTTTTTTACTATGTTATTTGTAAAAAAAAAGGACAAATGATTTATTTTTGAACTAGTATTATTCATACAATTTCTTTAATAAATACATATGAATCCATTGTTGTAGAAATAGAAACATCTTGGTAAAAAAATTAGGAAAAAAATATTTGCTATGTATAAAAATTTTCATAGTCCTAACTGCAATGCTTTTTTCGTCCTAGAACA